AATGGTGGGACCAAAAATAGATATAAGTGTCTACGATGTTCTTGCGAATTCCGATGCTCCAATCGAAAAAGTGGGGGAAATTAAGGAAACGTCGCGCCCATTGCCGCGCGCGACGAAGCGGCAATTTACGAGACCCAAGCGCTCAAACTTCATACACTGCGGTCCCGCCTTGAAGATCGCGACTGATTTTAGCCAGGGCACGTCCTGCCGCTAGGGAGAAAAATTTCCCGGAAGATATGACCCTCCTAGTCCCCTCCTCTGAAGCGTCTTCCCCCCCCCCCTTCCCACATTCTACCTACCACCTTTCTGGATTTTCCCAACTTCCTACCAATTTTTCCAGAATTTCCCGAAAAGGTTTTCCCCAAAATTTTGCTGCCGAGAGGTCGTCAGCAACCAACTATTAGTCCACCTATCAGAAATAATACTTGTATAGAACTTTGGCGGTGCCACCAACTGAGGGGGGGGGGGAAAGGGAACGTCGCAAACTTCTCTCAAATGTGAATACGAGCCCCCCCCTTCTCCCAACAACGAGCCCCCTATCCCCACAACCAGCAAATACGGCCAATGACCTGATACTTAAGCTGTCCAATGTTAGGTAGGATTGCACAACGAAGAATACTTGAAATAGGAACAGGACAGAAAAACGCGGCAGCTTTGCTGGGCAGCAGCGGTAATGCTGAAGTAGGGTCGACTTCGTCAGCGGTCACGACTCAAATTAATTTTCCAGTAATGACAAACTACAGCTACTAATAGTCCCAGACGGTGGTATACTTGTAAAAGCAAAGTTGAATTCATGAAGAAGCTCGACAAAACTAGCTAGAAAGCAGGGATGTGTGTCCGGTGTGAGTGTAGATTAAGTTGCGGCAAAAGGGGCGGAGTTATCTGGAGGCGGGGCATGCAATGGGGTCCATTGTGTGCAATATACATGCGTGGGCGCTTCGCGCAAGATTGGGAAAAAAAGCCGCTTCGCGGAAGAATCCTTAAAAAAACTAGTACAAGAGAACTGTGGTATGCTTCCCCACGAGGCATTTTTATAGAACATCCATGAATTATTACTCTAAATGAGCACAGTATCCATACCACCGGTTCGAAAAATTAAAGGTCACGAAAATAAGCAATATCGCGTTGTCGAAAGATATAAAAACATACCTAACTAGAAAAAAAATCTCTATCCAGTAATCAAAGTTGTATTCGATGACGGATTTGACCAGGCGCCAGGTTGCGGTTGACTATACCCGTACCCTGAATAAAGTAGAAATCTAGATCCATGAACAAAGAAAAAACTTCCCAATAAAGACCGAATTATAAGTGCCATTGAAGTACGAACCTTGTGGTGGGTGACCATTCTGTGGTTGACCCAATTGCGTAAGCTGCTGATTAGGACCAGCCGATAATCCTGGACCTAATGGAAGACTTCCTGGTCCCATTGGTCCAGACGGCACTATTTGTGGTCCACCAGGAACAAGTTGAGGACCTGTGCCACCCATTTGTGAAGCGCCTGCCGGTCCAATAGGAGGGCCGCCTTGCATTCCACTCATACCTGGACCACCAATGTGTCCGCCTTGACCCAATGACTGCATCTGGAGCTGAAATGCGTAAAATAATCACTTTCTAGCGGCGAAACACGAGGAAACTATAAAAAACTGAAACCATACTATTTGCCCAGAAGGATATTACCACCCCGTAATATACATATCACAAATTGTTCAAGCGAGGATTAGGGAAACGGCAGACATACTTCATTTCTGTCCCCTACACACCGCTAACAAAAGTGGGGTTTAAGAGAAACCAGAAAGGTGTCTCGTGGCTTCATCAAGCTTCACCAGTGGGGGGGGGGGCACAGATACAGCAGATACCGACTAAGCTCAAAAATCCCTCCACGATCTTCCCCCCCCCCCCCTTCAAGAAGCGCGTGGTGACGGGACTGATACACCCACACTATTCCCCTACAACACCCCACCCCTTCCCCGCATCCCGATTTCTCGAAAGTGGAGGAGGATGGCTCTAAGGAGAATGAGGTGTGTCACTATTTCACTACCCCAACCATCCAGAATTGAGCCCGATTTT